TTTAAAACCCAGTCTTTGTTGTAGGCCAAACAGGATCAGCATTTCTAGAACAGTCTAGTACTGATGATGACTTAAGCAGAAATTAAGAATTGGAACAGACTGCAAGAAGGACAACCGTACATAGGTGAAGCTCTTTTGAGCCACATAAAATGACGTGATGGGCCGGATTAGGCCCGCGGGCCTTGAGTTTGACAAATTTGCAATAAAGCCTACAGCGTTTTTTATTATGTATGAATAATAAAGCACAAAAAAATGGAAACAAAGAAAATGTTTGTTTTTTTTACTTTTCTAGCGCAATTTTTTTTTTCAAGATGTCAAACTTTATCCCTATGAAAACTCACCCTCATGAGCAGCTCTCTGCTGGTCAAGTAGTTGTTGTGATCTGAGAAAATGTCTGACAGTTCCTCGAATGTCTGCATGCTGTCTCTGTGTGTGAGGCACAGATTCATGTTAGAGCCATTGAACTGCACACATAAAAAAAACAAAAAACAATGGCGTTAACAAGCGGCGTTCAGAGTCAAAAGGCTCACTTGTGTACACAGGCCCATGCCCTCTTCAGTCTGTAGAGCGGGTTCGACTGCAGCGCGGACACAATGGCACGCAGGGATGAGAAATTCTTGCGTATTCGACACTCCTGTTAAATCAACACGAAGAGACAAAGTTAAAGCTGTGCTTCAGCGGAACGTTAGGGAGTTTTTTTATATTCGTTTCTGCCGACCTGAGCGATGTCTATCCAGCGCTGGATGATTCTGGCTCGGACATGCGGTCGGATCTGTTTGTGTTTGAGCACCGTGCTGACCACACAGGCTGCCACGGCATTGAACTGAGTGATGGTGGCACGGATGGTCGGGGCGCTGTCCTTGTTTTCCTTCTTGTCCCTCTGAGACCAGATGGAGCCCAGGCAGTGGTGGGGCACCACCTTTTTAAACAGCAGCTGCAGCACCAAAGAAAACACAAGCCATGGTTGGCATGACAACACCGCAGACGCATTACGACGAGGAAGGCTATTCACTATTTTTGCCTTTTTATAACTGTGTATATTTTATAGCTTTTAACAATTTGAAGTATTTTTGTGCTATTTACATATATTGCATATTTATGTATTTGATTATTTTAGTTTTCATTTTTGACCAGCTTCAAACTAATAGCTAATTTCTAGCTCATGCTGCTATTTATGCTAATTGTAGGTAATGCTTAGCTATCTTGACGTCCTTTTAGCAACTGTTGGCTATCACGTAGATCTGTAAAGACACTGTCCATTTCCCCATGTATTTTTTGAACCAGTGTTACAAAATAAAAGCATTTGTAAACCACAAGACCTACAGCGCCAAAACTTTCTTTTTTTTGTCCTTTGTCTCTACTTACAGCGTCCATGTAGGTCAGCTGCTCGGCTACCAGGTCTGCATCAAAAGACAGGAAGTTCTCTTGTACTTCTGTGTCACCTTTATACTCTTCCCCGGGGCAGAATGAACTGTGAAAAGCACCTAAAGGCAAGTCAAACACAATTGTAGGTTAAATAAAAAAAAAAACGACATCGTACTGTGATAAAATTAAAGTGTCTATGTATTACCATCGGTTTCATCCGCGCTGGCCTGACTCTGCATGTGCTCCAGCAGACTCTCGGCCCGTCGGAGAGCCTCCGACCCGGGCAAGGCTTTGTACAGGTAGTCCAACAGTCTGTGCAGACAGGTGTATTCAGGTGGCTCCTGGAAGTCTTCAGGACACTGGTCAAGCCAAGCACATAGTATGGAGGCCAGAGCACTGAGGAGACATTTGAGATTCCAACACATTCAGTAAACTGCAATCTAATTTAAGCACCAGTATTTAAATATAGTTCATGGTTTTGGAGGCAACAGGTACTAAATACTCCTTGTGTAGCAGCATGTGATAATGTTAGATTAAAGGAAAAGTATGAAGTTATTATGTAGTAATTATGCTATTTTGTATTTGTCAAAAACACGTAAAGTTTAAGGCGTGTAGCACACACTGCGCTTTCAGCATGCTAATGTCAATAATTAGCGGTGCGCTAGTACATAGTGCATTAGCCGTGAATTGGTGTTGCTCTAACTCAAAGCTGTTTAATATGTGTATAAGTCTGTCTTTAGCAAGGCTAGGCTAAGCTAACACTGCTAACTCAGCTTCGCTACTTCTTAGGACTTTACAGGCAGCTCTAAATACATTAGTGACGTACTTTAGTGCCACCTATTGGGTCTAATATTCTATCTACAAATATGTTCAATCTACTGAAAAAAACAAACTGTAGTACTTGCTGAAGTTCACAGGACCAAGTACTTTCTCTGACCGTTTAAAAAATATATCTATATCTATAGGTAAATGTTCGATGTATATCATATCATCTCACACAAAAACAAACACTGATTTAAAAAAACTTCTGCTGTATCTGTTAGAATTCAATCTCACTTTCTGATGGCTCCACTGGTTTCAGAGCCGGGACTCTTGTCGGAGCCGTTTCCATCCTCCATACATCCATAACTGTGGCAGAAAAAAAAAGTTTTGTTTTCAGTGATACCACATTTGTGATATTTCCACCTTGAGACACTTCACTCTGATGTACCTGTCTAGCAGTAGCTGCAGTACAGTCTGTGTACTGGTGAAGGCTCTGTAGGTGGACAGGAAGATTGAGGTGTAGGTGAGATCATTGTCTCCGAATGCCGTCAACAAGGTCTCCACCAGACGCTCCAGCGTCCCTGCGCGTATACTGCGGATTTTGCAGGTCTCCAGCTGCCTCACCGTGTGGCCGGGAGGAAGACGATCCCCCTCCGCCTTAAAAGAACAAAACAAACAAAAAAAAACACACACAATGTTAGACTGTGGAAAATTCATGCTTGACAGTCCGTCAGAAAAATCTTATCTGTGTTTTATTATTAGCTTTGTGTATGAATACATTCTGACACTGGACAAAAGGCCACCTCCCAACTATTGAAATGATAGGAAGGAAACATTGTGTACTGATCTCCAAGGGGAAAGGCTAACAGCATGTTTCATTTACACTGGACTACACATGACAATACTAAAGGAGGTATTTTGGGAAGAGATAACGTTTTGGGGCAGGTTTGGGATTTATTTGACATGTATATAGGATGTAAACCTCAGTGGGGGAGGACAGGAGGTCTGGAAGAGATAGAAAGAACGCCTGGGGTCATTATAGTTCTTCACTAGCGTCAGTAATAATAATAACAATATTAATAATAATAACAACTTGGAGATTTGTTTTTTCAAATTATTTTAATTCTTTTTTAATGAACATAGAGTAACTGAGAGAAATGTCTATTGTGTAGAACACTGTCAATATAAGAAAGATGTTTATTGTAAATCATGTGACAGTTTGTTGTACATTATGTAAAATGTGTTTAATTATTTCATATTAACAAACCAGTAATCTCACATTACTGCTGTTGTATTTAGTATTAAAATTGAATTGACCATTTTGTAATATTTTTGCAAAAGTGCAAAAAAAAAAAATCATACAGAAAGACAAACTTAGTGACTACATAAATATAATACTGCTTCTTATCCTTTTTATTTTACTCTTTAGACGTTGCTCTGGGTAATGCAAAACAATCTCTATCTGTTTAAATAAATGATAAATAAACAGATATTATTATTAACACTTAGATATTTGCTAAAAGTATGTGGAGCTACAGGCAATTAGAAATTGCCCAATGTACAATACAGTAGGGTGATATCCATTTCAAGAGTGCTTTGTTGTTGAAATAATATTATAACAAACAATTATTGGCATTTAATTGAATCCAGTGTCTAAAACAAAAGTTCATCATTTCCTCATGTGACACTTGGTTCTGGTTAGATGACCTTTTTGCAAGTCTTTTTGTGAGATTTTCCTGGGATGGATTTGGGGCGGGATGAGGACAGCCCTGACATA